TCAAGAAATTGCTGCTAATAATATCCTAATTCAGAATGATTTCTTCTTTTTAAAAAATTTTAAAATCTTAAACTTTAACCAACATATTGATGTAAAAATAGATACAATATGCTACGAAATGAATGAATTTTTAGCAAAGGTCAAACTATATTTTAAGGTTGGGGACACTACCTTTAAGAGGTAGAACCAATTGTAATACTTAAAAATAGTGTTGCCCCCCGGCCCCAGAGAGCAGGAACTACTTTACTGCATTTAGATCTTAATGCTTCTCCACAACAACAGCTCTGAGGAACAAAACCTAATGGCTATTTTCTATTCTCTAGGGATAGTGACATTTTTGCACCATTTATGAGGCTTTTCAGTCCTAAGGTCAACACAGAGGCTTTGTTAGTGTATGTTAGGACAGCAATTACTTTCAGATTCTTTTGGTAGCATTACTTCTACAGCAAAGGCAAAATAACAACACATCACTAAACTTTGCATTATGTTCTGAAATGCTGTTTTCTTAACCATATTGTACCAGGCACTAACGATGTATTTCTCCTCCATGTCTCTTTGACTCTTGGTTTTCTCATATTCTTTCTGAAGCACAAGCACATGTAAAGATATGAAAGAATTTAATAAACAGAACACACAATTCTCTAAATCTAAGGGTATAAGATCAACGATCTTAGAATATACCAAACAAAGAACCCCAGTGTTTTATTACACAGTGAAGTCACTCACTTCTAATGAATGGAAGAGTCGATCTCGTTCCTGGAGTTGATTTTTAAGAGCTTGTATTTCTGGTGCTGCCCCTTCGTTCTGTTTAGGATCTAAAGTATGGATAACCTGCAAAAGTAATCAAAGAAAACTTGAAATGACTTGGCCTGGAAGACAGCTCAATCAGTAAAGCACCTGCTGTGTAAGCAGGAGTAAGGACTGAGCTCAGATGCCCAGTGTCTGTGCACAGGGGTAGGGAGTCCAGAGTAGTGATGGAGGGTCCCTGAGGCTTGCTGGCCAGCTAGTCTGGTCAAGCTGGTAAGCCAGAGGTTCAGTACTTACCCTGTCACTGAAAACAAGGGCATGTGATAGAGGAATATTCTTTTTTTAAAAAATATATTTTATTTTATTATTTTTATGTTATGTGTAGTATTGCCTGCATGTGTTTAAGTCCACCCATGTTGTGCAATGCTTTTGGAGGTCAGAAGGTGGCATTGGAACCCCTGGAACTGGAGTTACAGATGTTAGCTACCATGTGGGTACTGGGACTTGAACCCTGGTCCTCTGCAACAGCAGTCAGTGCTTTTAACCACTGAGGTATTTCTCCAGTCCCTTACACAGCCTTCTAAGAAGGGTCATAATAAATGGCTTCTCAGCCTTTTAGCTAAGATCAAGTGTAGAAAAGGCCATACTGTTTGTGAAGAGAAGCTGGGCATAGAAGCTTGCATCTATAATCCAAGCAACGGGAGGATGAGGCAGGAGTAATTAGTGAGCTTGAGGCCAGCCTGGGCTACCTAGTGAGTTCCCAGCAAGCCTGGGCTACAAGGTGAAATTCCATCTCCAAAAACAAAAGGAGTCAGGTATGGTAGCACACACCTTAAATCCCAGCACTCCCTAGGCAGAGGTAGGCGGATCTCTATGAGTTCAAGGCCAACCTGGTCTACATAGCGTGTTCTAGGCCAGCTGGGGCTACAGAGAAACCCTATCTCAAAAACAAAACAAAACAAACCCCCCAAAAAACTATTCAAGAGGACTAAAAGGGGAGACTGACAGCAGAGGAGCATGAGGGAATGTTCGAGAAAAACAAAAATGTCTATATCTTTTTTTAATATTTTATTTATTATTTTAATTTTACGTGTCTGAATGTATTCCCTGCATGTAAGTGCACCTGCCCTTGGAGGTCAGATGAAGGAACCTGAGTTATAGATGGTTGTTAGCTGCCATGTGGGTGCTGGGAATTGAACCCGAGTCCTCCGCAAGAGCAGTCAGTGCTCTACTGAGCCATCTCTCCAGTCCCGAAAATGTCTGTATCTTGATTGAGGCAGTTCTACAGCATGTAGAGTTGTTAAAAGTCATCACTTAAAATATGGGAAATTTTGGCTGGGGAGACAGCTCAGTTGGTAAAAAGCCCGATACACAAGCATGATACCCTGAGTTTGGCTTCGCAGCACCCACATAAAACTCAAGTCTATGAACTTCACATGGGGGGAGGAAGACGTGTGGAGAGACAGGCAGATCACCAGAGCTCTCTGGTCTAGCCAGCTGGTGATCATTCTGTTCAGTGAAAGACCCTGTGTCAGAAAATGAGGTGGAAGCCAAGAGGAAGAGACCTGACATCAACCTCTGGCATCCATGTACAAACACACACAAAATAGAAACACACATTTACATCACACACACAAGTTAAATTTATTAAGAGTAAATGATACTGCAAGACTGAAGGAAGGAGAGGCAGAAGAAAGGCGAACACCTGTGGGGAAATGGCATTTATATTCCAAAGAAAAGAGAAATGTATGTAGGAAAGTACTTTTCTTAAAACTTTCATTTTAGACAGGTATGATGGTGCACGCCTTTAATCCCAGCACTCAGGAGGGAGTTCCAGACCACCTAGGGCTACACAGTGGACCATGTCTCAAAAACTACAAAAACAAACATTAACAAAAACTCATTTTCTGAGTACGTCCTCCCTTTGTACAAATGGAAGATTAGAATGCAAAAGGGCTTCCTTAGGCGAGATATTTTGAAAAAGTCCAAAGTCTTCACCCTCCAAAGCAGTCCTTTTCTACCCCTTAGCTTCACTGGACAAGCCGCCCTCTTGTGGTTTTATATTTCCCAAACACAAAAGCAGGCAGCTATTAACCCACGTAGTAGTTAAGCCCAATCTGTCTACCCATACCCGCTGGGAGATGTGAGGGTGGGTGTGTTACACACGCTCCATGTGAGAGTGGACATGTACCATCATGGTCTTGGGGCCTAGCTTTAAGTTACTAAGAAAACAGGGTGGCACAAAATAATATCGTTTGAGGCTGACAAATTCAAAAGGTGATTTAATCTCAATGTAAACTGCTTCTTCATTTGAATGTCCTAGTACCTGCTTTCACTTTGGCAACATGGACCTTGCCAGCGTATCAGAAGCAAGCATGGATCTCACACAGATCAGTACCAAGGAAGCTGAACAGCCAGTTCCCGTTCTACCACCTGTGAGTATGACACAAGATTCCCAGGAGAGCTTTGCACAGAAAACAAAAGCAGCTAAATGATATTTAACTTTGCTTTGTGTTTGTTTTTAAAATAACATTAGCATGGGAAATCCAGGTGTCCTGAGAAATGCTTAGCATTTGTTTAAAAGGGACAGAAGGCTAAGCACAGCTAAGGAGACACTATTGACAGCGCTTTCCCATTTTATCTCCGCCAACCCTTGGCTGCAGACAGTAGTGTGGCTGAAGCACAAACATGGGATGCAATTCCAGCTGACTCACTGGAGGATTTCTAGGAGGTCATTTTGTCTTTCACCAGTATTTTTTTTTACTATCCAAACGTTCAAATACAGAGACCTCAAAACAGTTCACACTCCATCACCACATATCATCTCTCTCCCTCACCCCCACATCCACATAAAACAACAATTCACAGATCCGATGACACATAATCTTTAAATACTTCAGTACGCATTTACTTAAAATCTGATGCTACATCATAATACTATTACCATCTGTATGAAAACCACAACTGTGCTGGTTTGAATGAGAACTCTTCTCCCATAGGCTCAATTATTTGCATACCTGGTATATGGGCCCAGTTGGTGGCGCTGTTTGGGCAGCCATGGAATCTTTATGAGGTACGACCTTGCCAGAGGAAGCACGTAACTTGGGGTCTGTTTTGAGACTTACATAGTCTGGCCCCACTTCCAGTTCTCTCTCTGTTTTCAGCTCTGGCTGCCTGTGGCCATGCCTCCCCGCCATGACGGACTCTTATGCTCCTGGAATCGTAAGCTAAAACAAACTCTTTCTTCCACAATTCACTTCTGGTCATGGTGTTTGTAGTGGTTTGAATGTGAATGCCCCTATAGAGCCAAGAGTTTGAACACTTGGTCAGGTGGTGGCGCTGTCTGGGGCAGTCATGAAGTCCTAAGGGGTGCGGTCTTGGTGGAGGAAGCACCTCACTGGGTCACCTGAGGGCCAGCTTTGAGAGTTCATAGTCCATTCTTTTCTTTTTTGGTCTTTTGTGAGACAGGGTCTCCCTGTAGCCCCAGCTGGCCTGGAGCTGGAAATGTACACCAAGCTGGACTTGAACTCCCAGAGATCTGCCTGCCTCTGCCTCCCAAAAGGATTAAAGGCATGCACCACCATGCCCGGCTCG